GCGCTTAGTTCACTGAGCTATCTCGCCGTCTCGTTACTAGATATTTTAAATGCCTCCCCTGTTTACAAGGTGATCCTTTTTCCTTTTCAAACCTAGCATGTAGCTGAGCACGCTCCGTTTTCTTTCAGTGACTGTCTGCCCTACTAAGCGCGAAGACAGTGCTGCTGGGAGCGGGGCCGACTGGGGTCTCCAGGACGTGGTCTCCCTGAAGGAGCGGATGGCGAGGTACCAGGCAGCCGTTTCCAGGCGCGACGGCCATAGCTTCTCAGCGAACGTAAGCTGACACTTTTGTTTAGCTTCTGTTTGTCCAAAAACGCACCTCACTCGTGCAAGGCAAGAATAACACTAGGCCGTGCAATAAAGTCAAAAGAGGGAAAAGTACCACGAGTCAGACTCATACCTCTGAATGTGAGCATCATCCGTGCTATGCATTGGTTATATGAACCTGAACTGTTTACTTGCCTCGCCCCTCTCTAAACTTCAGTTTCATTAACTGAAAAAGGGGAATATCCACTACCACATACGGTCTTGGAGAGGAATCAAGGAGATAATTTATGAATAAGCCATAAGGCTCTGTACAAATGTGTTATTATTACCATCATTATCACTTAACCTATAGCTGTTCTCTTCGGGAAGGTTGGGAATTAATTTCAAATTTTAATAATGGGAGTTTGCATGTGGCCCTCATTGGTCTCATATATGGTTCATTTAAAATTCTCCGGCAGTATTTCTTTTGCTTTTCTCCGTATGCACTAAATCCATTAAGAGAGGCTTAATCAACATAGAAATGAGAGAGATTAGCGATGTAGGCACTCTGCTAAACCAATTATGATTATAGGAAACCGCAGGATTCAGTAGGACCACCAGTTTTTAGAGCCGACACGTAATAAAGTCACATTTAAAAGAACTTGCTGGATTCTGTGCCCTTCAGCGGAATGGAATAGAAGAATATTCTTTTATCATTATATTCTGTATATTAACTATGTTGTATGTGTGTGTGCATGTGTGTGAGAGAAACAGAGGGGAGAGAGAGAGAGAGAGAGAGAGAGAGAGAGAGAGAGAGAGAGAGAGAGAGAGAGAGAGAAATGAGCCTGAGAAGTTGTATTTTAAAATAGCTACTCAACATTATTCTTTACAAATTAGAGACAAGGCTGACTGTGCCAAACTCATCAGCAACTCTGCAATTCTAGATGACATTTAAGTTTTTACATAGTCATTAAAATACATTATAGGCACACCACGGATTTGGAACGAATGTATAGGAGTGGCGCTAGTAACTTGCAAAACAAATAGCATCACAATGCCTCCGGCCAGTCTTCTTAGAGAGCGCCCCCTGCTTTATAGTTCAGGAACTGTATTGCAAATTAGTGTTCTAAACTGGAGAAATGATTTTTGGGAAATCAGCTTATTTGATTATTCTGGTTAAAGACTGATTGTTTAGTAACCCATTTTTCACTTAGAAAGAGTTAGATCCATCCAGGAACTCACATAGTATGGTGTCAAATAAATTGGCGTTGGTATAATTTGTACTAAGCAGAAAAGGCATAAAATGGACAAATAGGTAAATAAATCTTATTATTTGATATAAAACTCAAAAATCAATGCTAACTTGAAAAGCATAAGAATTTCATAAACTTCTTAATTTCCTTGTATTTTCTTCCCATTTTACCAACCAAAAAGCTTCATAAACTTTGTATTTTACTTTTATTTTTTTGCTAATTTTACAGACCAAAACTCTGAGATAACATTACTTTTAGGAGATTATATAATAAGTCAAGAACTGTTACTAATTTTTTTAGCATCAGTGATTTTTTAACTGAATTCAGTTTTGTCTCTCATACAAGACAGCATTTCTTCTTCAAAAGTACCCAATCTGGCTTGACTTTAAGCAAATATTGTGATAAAGAAGAGAGTATCTGTCACCTCAAAGGACTCTTGTTGAATATATACAAGGAAAAGCAACTGCCTTGTGTAGTCAAGAAGTTGCCTTGTTTAACTGCATGAAAAGTTTGTTCACCCCCCCATAAAAAGAAAAAAAATTATCAAAACTACTTGTCACTAATTCTGTGTCTACACAATGAACACAACTATTTTAAATACAAAATCTGGAGCATAAGGATTTAAACTCAAGGTTAATTCAAAATATTTTATTCATACTTAAATAACTAGCAAAGATCAATCTCTACCTCATGTCCAATCAAATAACACTTTGTTGGAAAGAAGAAATGTTTGTTGAGCAATGAATTAAAATGTCATTCTGTGTTTCTTTTATCTTTTTAACATTCACAATAAATCTGTGTAAAATATATTGCTATATTCAGCATATAAAATGAAGGTTCAGGAACTTGAGCTCAATGTTTTGTCAGGATTTGGAATAGAATTGATACATGGGGGTGGGGGAAACTCCCAACCTAACAGATCTCTGGCACAAATTCATGTTCTCTAAAAATTGAAGAATGAATTTTAGGACCAATGGAGGTTAAGAGCAGAATATATTTATTGGAGGTAATAAAGCTTCTGTCTGAGAGAGGAACAGAAGGGGACCTAAGTGGGTTGCCAAAGAACTTATCTTTTCCAGGGATTTTTATAAAGCAAATTTACAAAATGAGGCAGGTTCAAGGTGGGGAATATGGAAACTTACTAGGTAGGCACGAGGTGGGACAAAACTATGGTCAACCAATAGGTTACAAGCACAACTGCTCAGGTAAAATTGATTAAATGGGGACCAAATGAGGAAACAACTCATGCAGCAGGCAGGCATGAATACAGAGCAAGGGCCTTTTCCTGTAGGGGACTGGGTTAGTGACTCTTCCTGGCTTTCTCAAGGTGATAGAGACTATTTTGAGTATCAGACCCTCATGTCCATCTCCAGGAAGGTGTGTGGAAGCATTTGTCTCATCTTGTGTCTTGAAGTCTGCCCCGCAGGAGAAGTATGTACCCTTCTCTCTCACAATTGCAAGGTACCTGCTCATCTTTACTGGCTCCTTCCAGGACCCAGCTCTCTGTCTCTGTCCATGATATTTTCACCTAACTCAGTTGTCCACAACAGAATCACTATCTGTCTAACTTACAAAGTCTGTTATAT